CCACTGCCACTACCACTACGACGACTACTACTACTACTACTACTACCACCAGCACGACCGCTACCACTACCACCACCACTTCCACTACTACTATCAGTACCAGTACCAGTACCACCACCACGACGACTATCATTGAGCGACTGCGACTACGACTAATGCTTTGACTATTAGTACTACTACTACCATTTCTACTACTACTCATACTACCACCACCACGACGACTATTGCTGCTACTACTACTACTACTACTACTTCTACTTCTACTTCTACTTCTGCTTCTGCTTCTGCTACTGCTGCTACTATTTCTACTGCTACTACTACTGCTACTACTACTGCTACAGCTACTCCTTCTGCTGCTGCTACCACTACTCCTCCTCCTCCTACTACTCCTACTACTCCTCCTCCTCTTACTACTACTACGACTACTACTGCAAAATGTTTGCGATTAGGCGTGGCGGGCATTTGGACGTGCTTCTTCGTCTATGGCATCCTCCAGGAGCATATTTGCCAGGCATTATCTTGTTCCTCCTTAAGGGCTTGTGTGGCTGAAATCTGCAGGCGGGGGAACCCTTCCCCAAGCATGATTGCCACCACGCCCGGAACAGGAGAGTATCTTCGTCTACAAAACTGCCACAGGTGAGAAGCTTCGGCCTCGGTATGACCGGTTTGATGCTTCGTTTAGGGGATGTACTTTGATTGACGATATGCCTATGCTATCCTATGCTCAACATGACGACAGTGACCATCATCTTCACCATCACGCCATCGTCATCATCGTCATCATCATGACCACAATCAAAAGAACCACAACCACCAATACTGCTTTTTCCGTGAACAACATCTTGCTTCTCGCCATCGTCATCGTGCCAGTATCGCCATCACTATCAGCATCGTCATCATCATCATCATCACCATCAGCATAATCATCAACGCCTTTCACAACAATCTTAGTCGTCGCCTCTATTGGTGCTGTCTTGTCCATCGCGATGGCCATCACTACTTGTACCAGTGTCATAATCTCCGCGACCATCATTGTCATAGATTTGGATGATACCTCGCCCATTTAGGTGTATGGCATTACCCAGACCCCACCCTAGGCTAAATCTATCTCGAGATCTCACCTGTTATCTTTCCTTTTTTGAAGGCCGCAATAAGTAAAACAACACACGCAATTAAGATGGACTATATTCTAGGGTGGGTTCTGAGTGGTGCCATGCACCTGTACCTAAATAGACAAGGTATCCCATAATTCATAGTCATCGCCACAATCACCACTGCCATCATCATCAGCTGCATCAGTTTTGTATCGGCATTGGTCGCATCAGAATGACTACCGCCTTCGTCATCATTCCTCTTGGCCATGCTGGCCTGTTCTTCTTTCCGTTGTGATCATAACGACGGTGCTGAAGTCATCTTCGTTGTCATCGTCGTCAGCACACAATCATCACCACCGTTAACATCAACATCAACATAAACTTCGACACACCATCATGCCATCGTCAGCATCGTCATAATCATCATCATCATCACCATCATCTTCATCATCATCATCATGATCATGATCATCATGATCATGATCATGGTGATCATCATCATCATCGTCATCGTTCTCACCATCGCACTATCGTCATCGCCATCGTCATCATCATCATCATCACCATCATTATCATCATTATCATCATCATCACCATCATCATCACTCATTCTCAGCATCATCAGCATCATCATCATCAGCAGCATCATCACCACCATCATCACTCATTATCAGCACATTGTACTTGAAGCTGCGCGTCGCCGTTGTTGTCCATGTTTGCATTATTGCGGCTACGGTGGCAACAGCAATGAATCCGTCATGGCGACAATAGTTTGCCTAATGAGGACAGGCTCTCAGAATGACGAAGAACATTGCCACCCAGCCAACGCTTGCAGCGGCAACGGAGTTTTGTTTGTCATCATTTCCCGGACTTCGGCCAGATTGACTCATGCCGCAAACCTGCGCTTCACAAGAAGATACACGTCGCAACAGCTGTCAATCCGGCAAGTCTACTGAATCTACTGCATTGCTCGTGCAAGTTCTTATGGACATTGCCCCCGTTTTCGGTCTGAGTTGCTCGTCAACGCCTAGCACATGAACTCAGACGGTTAAGTCCGTGGTTAGTACTCATGGTCGAATGCCCTCATTATCAACACAATTGTACACGGTGGCAGTATCAGTGTCATCGTCATAATCGACATCATCCCTCATCATGATCATCGTTATCTTCGTGGGCCTCTAGCACCGTCATCGGCATTGTCACCACTAGACTCGACAATGACGATGGCAACAGCATGACGTTTATCGTCGTGTTTGCCCTCATCATCAAGGATTGCCATCACCATCAGCCGGGCCAGCACCTGCAACATCCTTCGCCCGCAGCAGTGTCATCATCATACCAGTCGACATTGCCATTGCCACTATGCCGTCGGCATCACACTCATCATTATTGCTCGTCAAGACATTCCCGAAGATGAGGCAGGGCTGCTAAGGAAGACTCAGACCCCAAAACCCCAAGTTCAGGTTTAAGCAGACGATGGTCCTGCTGATTGTGGAGCACACAGTGCCAGGCCCTTAGCTGACAGCGATTTGGAGGCAGTGGTCCCTGTAGCAGTAGCAGTACCAGTGACAGTAGTTCTAGTTGTCGGGGCTGTGGGTAGGAGCACCACACGCAGTGGTTGGGGGGGAGACCTCGTATTGGCGCATCAGTCCTCGTCACAAGTTTCATACGGAAGCACTTCGGGGAAAAAACAGTCTGCCTCTGCGGAAGCTCCACGATGCCTGTCAGAGAAGCTCTACAAGTGTGGAGTGGTGTGGTTATGTTCCATCGTGACGTACCTACGCATCCAGACGGTCCCGCTTAACTCCCATTAAAATAGAATCATTCTTGCCGAAGTCTTGAGTTACAGTGGCGGTAGGGGGGTTGTGGCAATTGTAGTATAGCTGCTGCGGTACCGCGATGCCGATGACGACAGGGGACATGAAGATGGAGACGAAGATCACAAGAATATCCCCTACTTCGGTAGCCCTGATATAGACACAGCAGGAATTCCCTAAACCCTAAATCCTAAATCGTCCCTTTACTCAGCCTTAAGCTCGGCGGCCCGCGAGGTCAGCCCTGGTGGCCCTGGGTATCGTCCTGCGACGCGCCCAGAGTCCTGGGACATCTTTTTAGATACCCAGTATGGAGTTGCGTACTAGTGGTAGAAGAACACCTCAAAAAACCTATTCTGATTATTAAGGCAACTATGGCAAGCTTTCGGCAGAAGCCTGCAGAGGATCATAGGAAGCAGGGCGACAGAGCAGGATCTTTTGTGCTTTTCGGGGGATTTCGTGGTGGGCAGGTTTGGCCCCGGGCCCAAGAACAAGTGGTGGGGGGCCTCAGCTTGGGCGCAACTGCTGAGCTGCCTGAAGTCGACTTTGCTGAGACTCTGATATTATAGTATACAATATAATATTATATTATATAATATCTGTTCTGTTCAGCTCTCCCCAAAGGCTGCCATACCTCCAGTCGCAGGGCATCGTTGCTTGTGCCTCTCTCAGCTCCCCAGGCACTTAGAACACTGCTTGAGGCTTGGGGCTTGCTTGTTTAGGGTTTAAGGTTTAGGGTCTACTAAGGGTGTAGGGTTTAGGGTTTAGGGTTTAGGGCTTACTTGAGGGCTCTCGCAGGGCAGAGATCCGATTCGATAGCCGCTCCTCGTGACTCGAGCACCTGGGACCAGGGGCCTCTGAACACCCGAAGCTGCCAGCATGTCCGGGGCCGCATCGCTTCTCCCGCGCCTGCTGCAATATGCGCAGGAGCGGGTGGCCAGCGCACGGGCGGAAATCCTTTCGAACCTGAGGGCAAAGACTGAGCTTCCACTGGTGTTGGATGTGGCATTGCCGGGTGCAGCTTACTTCTCCGTCGCAGCTGGAGGGCTCTGTGATGTTCTGAACCTATTGGGGGACGATGTTGTGAAAGTTGATCGCTTTGTTGGTGCCAGCGGCGGTGCTTGCAGCCTTTTCCTGATTCTTGCGAACGACAAGCGAGGAGCCCGCGAGCAAACTGCCACTCCGGCCGCCCTCTGCCCCAGTGCTGACCTTCTGCTGCAGTCATACCTCGAGTATGCCGAGTCGGAGGGTTCCGGCACCGTCCAGCGATCATTCAACGCATTCTGGCAAGCTGTGGCTGGGGTGTCTTCTTTCTGGGAGGACCTTGCACCGATGCCTCAAAAACCCTAACGGCCTTGATGCTTCCCCCATTCCTCTGAGCCAAAGCACTTCCCATGTGAGGACAAGTATCGAGCCCTTCTTTCTCAAGAGCCTGCCTGGACGGCAATTCGTTCTCGGGGCTTCTGTGCCGTGGCCGCTCGACCCCTGCGTCAACAGCTTTTCGGGGCTGCACCGTGCGATGCCTCGTCGTACCGCGCCAAAGGAGACAACTACATCTTCCATAATTTTGCAGAGAGGGAGGAGGCTGTTCAGGCATTCGTTGCCACAGGGGAAGCCACTGCGAAGGGCTTTACCAAGGGCATCCAAATTCTGAGCCGTGATCAGAAATTCTCCGCGGGGCCAGTAGAGAAGGAGCCAAGCGCTTCTGCGTACAGCCTGCCTGCGAGCTTCTGCGATGGTGGACGTCCGGCGATCTTTGATGTCCTCCATCATAATCGAAGCCCCAGTGGGTACCTTTACTACAACACCTGGTTTGAGAATGCCTCAGAAGCTGCCTTCTGCACAGCGGAGAGCATTGAACATCTTTACAAGCGGGGTGTGGACCGAACCATCGACTGCTTGCTCAGCGAGTCCTTGGCATCTCCGGTGCAGGGCAGCAAAGCAGGCAAAGACAGCATGGTCCTGGCGCTTCCCGGCGCAGATCCTGTCGCAGAGATGGCAAAGATCGGAGTGAAGACTCCTTTGTACGGCGGCTCCTTCGTGAATCTCACGGCGAGTGAGGTCCGGGAGCAGAAAGCCCTCGCTTGAGCTTGGAGAAAAACGGAGAGCCCGGCTTCGGGCCTAGGTCTCCAGCCTTCTCTGTGCTTTCATGGCCTCTGAGACTCTAGCAGTTGAAGAAGCACGCCTCTCATAACTGATCGCAGCGGCCAGCTTAAGCAACGCAATCGTCGTGGAATATGTTTTAATTGAAACCATGGTTGTGTAACGCGCGTGGGTGAACCAAGAGGACTTGCCTTGGAAGTTGTGTTTCTGGGCATCAGTAGAAAAACGGACATGCACTTCTTCAGCGGCGACAAGCACAACATTCGGAACCTGGCGCCAGGTACTGTTGTGGACGACCCCATAATTTGTCGGGGTCGTGCCCGAGAGTTCTTCTTGTTCAGCCAGACCATTCCCAAAGGAACCACTATTCCAACGCAGTACCCTGTAATGCTTAATCTAGCCGAGCTTCCCTTGCGACGGGACGAACGAGCGCCAGCGCATGAAACGGCCATCATCACAATACCTGGACCACGACAGCGCTGTTTGTCTTACAAACGATGACCACAAGAGCCTGTCGAGGCATGTCAACCTTGGTCATGACGGTGATGCTCAGTGCGTTCCTAATGACCATCGCCACCGACATTGCCATCAGCATCAGCATCATAGGTCATCGTCGTCATCCTCAATACGACTAGGATCCTGAGCACGCACTAGGAAGCTTCGGATCTTCAGAGCTTTGGACTCAGCCCGAGGCGCTCAGTGCGGAGCGAAGTTTGCCTCGAACGAGGCGCTGAAGTCGGTGTCCTATCCCATCCAGGCTGGCCCCTCAAGAAAAGGGACGGCCCAGCCCAAACTGAAAAGAGATAGGAAGGAAAGACACCCCTCTTCGCCTTGGTCAGGCGCTGGCGAAGTCCTCGAAGACCTTGCCAGCCATGCTTGGCTGCCTCTGGAGTGGTCACGCTGCGCGCGGTTACGGTGAGGTCAGATCGTGCACGAGGTCATCAAGGAAATTCATGAGCCGGAATGCACGAGAATTCGTCTGCAGGCTATGTAACATGTTCCCTGCAAGTGCGGCCAGGTAAGCGAATTACCACAGTGCAGTGGATCGCAGCAATTGGCATCACGCCGGGACCTTGACAAGACTTCCTCTGTTTCCAAGGGCTGATCTAGCCAGCGCCCTGGGCTACCGCAATTACAAATCTGTTAAGTCAGAGAGGCAAACCTGGCGCTTTGTTTTTGACATCTGGCTGATCAAACCTTCGCTTTTTCATGACCACGTCTTTGCGACGCTTTCTTGACAAACAAGCCCGAACTCCAGCACCTAAGCCGCCGTTAGGCTGGGGACTGCCGGCTTCTCCATGTCGGGTAAGAAGGGAGGAGACATCGAGGCTCCTCGTCGCGTGTAGTCTGGACTGTCAGAAGGATCTCGGTCCTAGATTTTTGTGATAGCCTGCCGGCAAGCGGGTTCCAGGCGGGCTCGTCCCAGGATCTGTTGCTATGAGAATCTATCTTCCCTCCGTTCGTTCAAGCATATTGAAGCTACCGCAAAGCTTTTGATCAACGGACCTTCCTCCGACAATGGCCTGTTGAACTGTTGCTAGTGTTGAAGGATTTCTAGATGTCTGGGGCCCTGTGTTTGGAAAGCATTGCTTGGGTGCTGCTTTCAGACTCGCCTGGAATCCAAACCTGTTTCCTCTTCCTTAGCAGTTGTGTCATAGTAAGCTGAGCTTTGCCGTGCTGCATGGTGCTCAGCATTTCTTTTGGTGCCCTGCCTCTATGTGTTTATGCCAGGTTCTCGAATCGAACAGAATCTTTTCCTATGTTCCCTTTTGAACGTTGCTTAGTAGCTGGTCTGAACTGATCTTAGCAGCGGCTTATCAAGGATAGTCTATTCAGTCTGTTGCATCCGTTTCTGCTCTACCCTGTTTCTATTCTACCTTGTTCTACTCTACTGTACTGTCTTTCACACATACATGCATGCACGCAGACAAGCAGGTGGACAAAGACGTGTGGACCTGCTTGTACACGTATGCATACAAGCATGTGTGTTCATGTTTATCAACATGAATATCTATATCATATGCTATCTGCTTTTAGGAAGGGAGAGGTGAACAAGATAGGGGGCGAACGCGAGAGAGAGAGAGAGAGAGAGAGACAGAAAACACAGACATAGACAGACGGAGACAGACGGAGACAGACAGAGACAGACCGACAGAGACAGACAGCAGAGAGCGAGACAGAGAGAGAGAGAGAGAGAGAGAGAGAGAGAGAGAGACCAGGATGCTCTTGCTAAGGATGAT